ATAAAACGTTTTTCTTTACTTGCATCGACTTCATTTAGGACCTTGCTTTACCTATTTCTGGATGATTTTAACAGCTAGGGAATTGTGCAGGAGGAGGTAAATGGTTAGTACATCAGATATGTGCATGGGCCAAATCTTGATAAATATGTGAGTATCTGCTGATCTGGTAAGTTGTGTGGTTGAGGCTAATTGATTACTTCACAACTTTTCTTTTCGCTAAGATATGTTGAATTGTGAATTTCACTTTTTAAATAGAGTTGTAACCTACTGACATTTGTCCAGTGGTTTTTGTTGTTTTGCTTTCTTCTGTTTGTTCCTTTGGAGTAGCTTTTACCTCCAATTTTATTTCAAGAGTAATTCCTGTTAAATGAATCTGTACATTATTAGTTATTAATGTGCATCTTTATAATGAATGAAATGTAATTGCAGATAGCAATTATGTGTTTCACAAACTTTAAGTATATAAAGTTATTTTTCATCACAAGAGTAAGTTTTCTTTAAAACAATTATTTTGCATGGATCGTAAGACTATGTTTTGAAAATGACAAAATAGGGGCCGGCCCGGTGGCGCACTGGATAGTGCGCCGCTTGGGAAGCACGGTGGCGCTCCCGCCCGAGGGTTCGGATCCCACGTACAGACCGGTTCCCACTCACTGGCTGAGCAAGGCACAGGAGCAACGCCGAGGGTTGCAATCCCGTTGCCGGTCCCCGGTCCGGTACGGGGGCAACACTGAGGGTTGCGATCCGTTGCCGGACACAGAAAAAGACAAAAGACAAAAAAAAAAAAAAAAAGAAAATGACAAAATAACCAATCAACTTGGTGGTAAAAACGATATTTAGAATGAGCCAAGAAAAACAAAAGAACAAACAAGCCTGGTGGTTAGGCTCTTTTTGACTTTTCATTTGATTGTGTTGGCCATTGTGTATACATAATTTGAGTGGAAGATTTTTTGACCTATGAATTTTTTATCACTATGCAGGATATACCTTAAACATAAGCATTTCCCTTGGCATCAACGATAAGCAAATTTCCAGTGATATTTAAATGTGTGACTATAAAATATTTCTACTGGTATTTCCTTACTAGCTAGCAGCTGTTACAACAGCCTCCAAACATCTATTAAGTCAAGAGAGATTTGTTTGATAATATAAATTAATAGGAAAGCAGTCACAAGGCTAGGAGTAAAAGTTTTAGGTGGTTATAAGTACCTTCATTCCTAGTTAGAAAATTGTATAAGCAGACAGATTTTTCAATAAGAACGTTAGTCTTCAGTTGAATTCCATAAAGTATATTGAGTGTAGCTTAATATGTTTAATTTCAGACATCACCAATGGTAATCAGATAGGGATTTCAGAAAACAATTTATTCCATTTCAATGGAATTTCCATTTTACTAGCTGTAATCTCAAATATGTAAATGGTAGCCAAAGCTGGATATGATGCTTCAGTTAAGAATTTTTTTTTTTTTTGCCCATTGTTTCTTCTAGCATCTTCTTGCCAAATCTTCTGGAGCGCTTGTAATTTCCTCTGTACAGAGCCCAACAGGCTCATCAGCAGCAGAAGGTAAACATAATAGATGTGAGGAATTTCTGGAGATTTATGAGGTTTAGTTTTTTTGAAATGTACACTCTGTCTGGCTACGCTAGTACACGGCCACATGTGGACTCTATGAATTGAAAATGTTATAAATGGAGCATCACTTACCCCTTGTTAAGAATAAGGTTTAGGAACAAAAGATGTTTTCTGTGAGAGTATTTAATGATAACATTGCTACTTAAAGATAGCAATATAGAGGAGATGAAAAGAAATAATGAACACTTTAAGCCTTAAATTTTTAATCTTAGAATTTGATAGGGATTCATTTTCCTTTGATTTAGTATATTAAATTTTTATCTTTCTGTATCTTCTTAAACTTCTTTGCTTTCCATTTATAATATTGAGAAAGAACTGGATATCTGCACAAAACATCCCAATAATATCAGACAACTTCCAATGAAGACTATTGACATTACTGACATTTGGCATGATGTACTGCCAAAAAGGAAATTAAAAAGTACAAGCCATTATCCTAAAGATCATCTGTTTATGAAAATTGTTAATTTTACATCACTTAGTTAAGCATAGAAACAAACCCTGGAGAAGGACAAAATGGGTGTCTCTCATAATCGTGATAGTTTCATTGCTTGTTAAAATGAACCTTTAACTTTTTCAGGGACTCTATTGATGTTAATAAACAGTTTTAATGCTGTAAACATCTCAAGCACTAGAATGCAAGTGAATCTTTTATGCTGGGCATTTCTCTACATCTTTTCTTTTACATATATCTTGCTAAAAGAGGCTAGCACAGCATTAGTAGAAGAGCATAGAAAGTCGTCTTATTCCTGCCATTGTTTACCAGTAGGGTTGCCTGATGGAAGGGCTTATAATCATGGATACAATTTTGTCATGGCCTCATGAAATAGCATCATTTTCCAGGACTTAAATAAATGATAGCATGAAT